GTTCCTTGTTCTCCAGATACAGCAAACCTGTGCGTGCTTAAAAATTACTGCCTTCTCTGATGATTTGGTGCGTGATGTAGAAGCTGTAGCTGTTTGTCTAGTAACAGACTAACATGCGTTAGGAAGTTCTAGGTGTTGTTTTGTGCTTTACTTGATTACCCAAGAGTCAAGTCACAAGAATACTCAGCATTTCAATTCCTTGCTTTGTTTCTGCCAAATAAATATTCTCATCATAGCAGAAATAACATGGTGTACTTAAAAAAAAAAAAATCACAACAGTTTGGTGTTAATTTTAACAGTTATAGATATATCTTCTTTTTCTGTATCTAATTCAGACACTCCAGATGCCAAAACTTTTCATAATACATTTCAGTTGTGTCTTCTGTTCACCAGTACTGTTTGGCCCAGAGTGAGTGATGAGAAGGTAGTGTTCTGTGTTTGGTAAAGTTTCATTGTTGCAGACACTGTTGTTCTATACTTAGTTTTGTGGCTTTAGGGAAATAATTTTAGGTCATCAGCAGTTGTTTTTCTGATTGCAGAAATAATCCTTATCCACTAATTACATATTTATACTGAGAAACGAGTCAGAAAACACTTAAGAATAGAAGTATGCTAGAAAGGGGAATTTGAGTGGCAGGAAGAAATCATACATGTGTTACAGTCCTCCCCCACTGTCTTAGCAAGTTCAGATTAGAAGACACAATTACCTGTAGGTGCGTATAGGAGATACTGGTGTCTAAGTCACCAAGCTCAAATGGGATGGGACCTCTGGAGACCATCTAGTTCAGCCCCCTGCTCAAAGCAGGGTCACCTAGAGCAGGTTGCTCAGGGCCGTGTCCGGTCAGAGTTTGTGTATCTGCGAGGGTGGAGACTCTGCAACCTCTCTGGGCAACCTGTGCCAGCATGTGGCCACCCTTACAATAAAAAAGATTTTTTTCTTATGTTCAGAAAGAAACCCACAACCTTTAAAAAACTCCAAGAAACTTAATTCAGGAGCAAATTGATTCTTTCTGCTTTTTGATAGAAACGGAAGAGCCATAAAACCTGATTCAGTTTAAATTAATTTCTGGAGATTTGCAAGAGGTGTGGCTACTGTTCACCCAGTGGCGTGCTGCTTAATCTGGAAAAATTCCAGCTGTGGTTAATAAACATTTGCCAGGATAGAACCTACATTGTTTATTTTAATAATTTGAAATAATTATAGTGTGTGTTTTTTGTTTGTTTGTTTTGTTTTGTTTTTACCTAATGTTTACTTACCTTCATATACTTGGCATCCAGGTCTGTTTGCTGAGGGAGCCAGGGTCAGAGAACACACAGGAGCGTGTGGATTCTTCATTTATGGATACCTGCATAAAAAGCCTGGAACAGTACAGGTGAATGGAAAGAGTATGAATCTTGATCAGGCCAAGAGCAGTTCCAGGGAAATATGTATTTTGGTTTTTTCTCATTCATCATGGCATATTGTCTTTACTAGCGAAAAGAGATTAATGTTTAACATACGTAAGGGTCACAGGAAAATGAGGTGGTGATTTGCTGCTTCTGCTAGAGCAATACTGCATCAGTTGCCTAATCAGAAGTAATAAAATTATATTAACAGGCTATGAATTTTTTTAGGTTAATAAGCAGGAACAGAGGAGTTAGTGTTTTTCTGTAAGGGTAGCACGGAAGCCAGCTGTTACTTATAAATGACGTAATTCAAGCCTCAGCATGTGTGAAAATAAAGAAATAAATAGTCCCCTTGGTTTTCATCAACAAGCCTGCTAGGTCTCCTCGGACATGAAGTTTATTAACTACTGCAAAGTCATTGTGTGTAATGTAGTGTCTTTAACTACTATCTGTATGTAAAGTCCAGCCACTTCTGAACAGCAATTTTGTCAATGTCCAAGGTGTTGATAACAAAAAAACATTGAATAAATCAAATTCAATAACCGCACGTCTGTGATGGATCCCTAATGCCTTGTCTGGACTTTAGCTCAGCTGTAATCCTTGCAGCACTTGCACTGCTGGAAACTCTCCTTATAGTCATCAGCATGGGTGGTGCTGGGGGAGCTTAACCCTGGCTGAGATAGTGGCACTCTTCACCTGGGTGAAAGCTGATGTTCCTGGCTTTAATAAAGTGAGTGTTTTTCAGAAAGTACCCCATTCATTTGCTGTCACCTCTGCAGCCTCAGCAAAAACAGAGGTTGGATCAAAGGTCTCTGTGTGTATTCTCTGCAACTCAGCAGTAAAATTGACTATGGCTGGTGAGTCCAGACACTCCAACAAGAGTAAAATGTGTTTATTAGAAAATGCTAAAGCAGTTGCAGCTTGAAATATGGGTAGAATAAAGTTTCATGTTTCATTGTCATCCTGATACATTATGCGACTAAAAATTGGTTCTTTGAAGGAGTATTAGGTAAGTAAAACTGAGGTGAACTTTGAGCTCACTGTGGAGCAAATGCTTATCATTTGAGGTAATAAAGGTTTGTTATACCCTTAGGTTCTTCTTGTATATGATTAAAAAGTTAGGCAGGAAGCTGCCCAAGCCCAAGGCTTTCTGACTGGTTTGTGACGTAGCTAAGAACAGACTTCTGAAGTCGTGACCCTGCTTTTCTTACTTTTTCCCCATTGTCTTTGCCGAGTGATTACCTGATGACTCATGCCTTATGCTCAAGGGTGAAGTAATGCTTCCTGAGTCATCTTATTTATTTTGTAATCTGTACTTATTGTCTTAAATCCACTAGTTTTTATGCGTGTGTATGTATATCTATTTGTCTATCCATATCTATATATCTGTGTTTCCTTTGTCTATGAGAAGAATCCTACTGAGGTCTTTATAAGCACCCAGAATATAACCATTCAGTTTTCACTGTTCAACCTTTTTTCTTTTTTTCCTCTCTAAGTCCTTTGCTGTTTCCTGTGTTGGTTTATGTACATAACTGCATTATGCTTAAGTATTAGATGACCATAGAAATGTGTGAAAAAGACAGAGATCAGGTGTCCAAAGCATTCTTTAGGTTTAGGGATGCCTTTTTTCATGGGGGAGATGGTTCTCCTGGGCTGCTGTTTTAGTCTGCTGCTCCCAGACTTCTTTCTGTACTATCCGCAACCAAATACTTGCAAGTAAGCAAGCTCCAACTGATGCTTGACAAAGGAAATTTGTTTTGTCAGGAAACTGGCACATTTAGCATGGATTTTTCTCAAATTCATTTGGGGAAATTAAAAAGTTGGCAGAATGATCTGTTTTAATCGTAGATGGTGGCCCTGCATTTGTCGTTATGGCAGCAACACAGGCTGCAGAAGAACCATAATCTCCTAGGCCGGTCAAAGCAGTGGGGTATAACCAAGCATCGGCCTTGCAGCAGCTTAGCAGATAGCATATGCATGTTCCTACCTTATAACCATGTCAGAAACAGTGACTGTTTACTGTTACTTAAAATATATCAGATGACAGTTTGGGTTTTGTTTATAATTACAACATCTGTGGGCTGTAGCAGACTGCTGTCTCACACAGATGCTCTGTAAGTGATACTGTTTGTGGAAGTAATGTTATTTGAGAGTTTCATCTAGGATGGTAGAATAAAAATTAACATCTAAAGTAATGAGTATGTTTCTTTAAAAAACACAGCTATTTAAAATTTAAAAAAAAAACCCCAAACACCAAACTGCCATAACAACCTAATATGCTATTATGAAGGTCAAAACAAATTTGTAAGAGAGTCATTAATCTACATGACCTGAATACTTGAGTAAGAGAAGGGAGTGAAAAATAACAGAGATTAAATAACTTTCCCAATTAATTAGTCTGTGGTTTCTCTTATGCTTTCTAAAGTATTTTTATCTCTCATTTTGAGTTTGAGTTTGTTCCATTATACTGCTTCCTTCAGGTGCAAAAGTTTTACTGAAAACAGAGCATTACAAGAGAGGAAGCTCTTTTGGCAAAGTGTTGGTGATGGTGAATTCCTGGCAGGGAGGCAAATGGGCAATTCATTTAGTCAGTGTTTAACTTTTATAATGTATCTGTTGGACAAATACAAGATCACTTCAACTGGTCTTTCAGAAAACAAAACCAAATTAGCCATTCCAGAAAAATAACATCAGGGAGCACCTCTTGGTGTTGCAACTTTTTTGTCATAAAGCGCCAGATGCTAACGTTGTTTATTTTTTTTTCCCCTCCTGTAGGTGCCTGAGATTATAAGCTCTATTCGACAAGCTGGAAAAATTGCTCGTCAAGAAGAGTTTCAGAATAATCTCTCAGATGTTGAAGACCCTTTTGCCAAAAAGTTTGAGGTGCTGTTCTGTGGACGAGTGACAGTAGCACATAAAAATGCACCTCCAGCACTCATAGATGAATGCATTGAGAAATTTAATCATGCAAGTTGTACAAAAAAATCAGATTTCAACTCATCATCCCAACAACATGAAACTGCCAATAACTTCGGAGGCTTCTCTTTCAGCAACAAATTTCGGTCTGTCTTCCAGCCCTTGGTCAGTGAAGAGGAGGAGAAAAGGCCAATTAGGAAATCCTTTTCTCAGCCTGGGCTTCGTTCCTTTGCTTTTAAGAAGGATTTGCAAGATGGAAGCCATAGGAGTAACAGCTTTGTCAGATCTTTTGAAGAAGATGCAATTTCACTGAACCTAAAAAGTCAACTTATCTATGGACACAGTGTTGTGCAGCCAACAGACATTGCAGAAAACCGGACCATGTTGTTTACGGTAAAGCAAGATTTGCAGCTCTTGGCAGCGTTTTCACATCCTGGAGTTTGAAGTGGCAAACACCAAAGCACATGTTCTGACACACAGCAGTTACTTCTTTAATAGCTTAATTGCAATTACCAGACCTTAACTTAAACATGCCTATTACTCTAGAAAGCATTACCGAGTCAGTGTAATTGTTTTACATAGTCAAAATAAGTTTATATTAAATAATTTAAAACAGCACTACCTGAAACATTGAGCTTCTAAAGACAGCTTTTAGAAAGCTACAGCAAGTTGATAGGTAGTTATACAATTCCAAGATGGTACGTACAGTTACACTAACTAGTAACAGCAGAAATAAATTTCCAGGTGAATGAGTTAGCTGTAAGTAGAGCAGGAGGACCAAACCATGTCTGGGGGCTAGTAGACTTTATGTCCCATGATGGGCAGCGTAATTTTTGAAGGTGTTCCTGCTGCCAACATGTCTGTGTAATGATAGAGTAGTGTGGTAACTTCCTAGGCTACTCCTCACCTGCCTCCAGTCCTGTCCTGCTTTTGTGTGGCTAGCAGTGCCCTTGCCTTCAGCTGAGCAGCAAAAGTGTTTTTCAAGACCTGAGAAATGAGTAAGGAATGTGTCATTTGCTCCTCTTGTAATCCTCATGATAGATAAGTTATATAACATATTTTATATATCTTGTATCTTATGAACATAATGCAAACCTGGAGCTGATGCTGCGATGGCTGGCTGGCATAAGGTCATTTTGGATCTGTCAGCTGCTGTTGGGGCTGGGAGCTTTGAAGGGCTGGAACGGAGTGGAGTGGGTGTAGTTACAGCAGGTTTGTTGGAGAGAGGAAAGAGAAGTGCTACTTTAGGACGGATTGCCAATCTGTTATGTCTGTAAAAGTAACACACAGAAAGAGGCGTAGTTAGCTATACCTGATTTAAAACTTCTGTTTAGTTGTGGCAGGCTGGCATCGGAGAGAGAAGTGGAAGAAGGTAGAGAGAAATTTTATGCCTCAGTAAAAACAATTCCATGTTTGCCTTCTTCCCCAGAGCATGTATTTCACACAGAAAATATAGATACCCTTTACAATAATGCCTAATTTTTAAACAAATCCTGACTCCATTTTTAATTCATGGCATATATTTTAGACATAGCGAGATTATAGATGGACTGCTTAGGTCCAGATCTCCCTACTCCACTGAGTGCATTTTTAATTTATATTAAATAGATGCCACAGTTCTCAAAGACACATGCAGCTTCAGCCCAAATATAACATCAGTCACCTGCTGACAGGCTCATTTCCAAATTGTGGGGCTCTGCTGATCTGGCTTTCTATCTTGGGTTGCTTTGTGCCTGGGAAAATATCGTATAGTATGCACAGTTGTATTCTTTTGCCATTCAGCCAGTCTAAATTCAGCTGAATATAAGGAAGTGAAGTAACTGTGGTTTGTGCCTCCAATATGCACACGCTAGCAGCTCCTGGCAGAGCTGAGTTTGTTGGTTAGCCATCTGGTTAGCTGTCCCCTGTGTTCAGCCGGTTCTGAGTGACCGTATGCATGCAGTGTGCACAGGCAACCTTTGCTCATCAATTTGTGTATGGCTACATATGAAATACTTAAGAGTAACTTTATATCCAGAGGAAAAAAATTGTTCCTGTTTTCTCAATTTAAGTTCTTATTTGGATTTTCCACAGGACTGCAGCAGAGGTTGGTTGGTATGTGAGGTGTGGAAAATGTTGAGATGAGTTACCTGCTGACTCAGGACAAGAGGAAACTTAGGACAAGAGGAAATGATCTCAAGTTGTGCCAGGGGAGGTTCAGGTTGGATATTAGGAAGAATTTCTTCACTGTAAGAGTTGTTAAGCATTGGAACAGGCTCCCCAGGGAGATGGTGAACCCAACATCCCTGGAGGCGTTCAAAAAACGTTTAGATGTGGCGCTTCGAGACATGGTTTAGTGGGCATGGTGGTGTTGGGTAGAAGGTTGGGCTTGATGATCTTTGAGGTGTCTTCCAACCATAACGATTCTATGATTCTATGACTCTCCTCACCTGCTTCAGACAGTCCTGATTTTGGTATCTCTTCCTGAAGAACTGCCTTCCTGGCCAATTTCTTAGGATTCTGTGGTTTTTTAATTTTTAGGCTTTTCTCCTGGCTGTATTTGGGCGAAGGGGGTGTTGGTGGTTTGGTTTTTTTTTTTTTCCCCTCATTAAGTTGTCTTCAAATGATGCCTGCTGCCTTGGGACCAAGTGTGAAAGGAGTATGTGGGGCTGAGCTAAGGAGCCTCCTGCTGCAGAGAGGGGAAGGCAGCAGTGAGGAGGAGGAGCCTGCTGAGTAGGTGTTGGAAGGAATAACCCCATGGACACATGCGAGGTCAGCCCCGGGGACAATACCAGGAAGCCAGCAGGGAGTTGGAGAAAATCATTGTGACTGGTTCAAGTGAAAGAAGAGGTGGAAGGTGAATGCACAGGACCATTTTTAGATACACAGAGGTAGCACACCTCACTTGATCCATTCACAGACAGGATTCCTCCCCTCAAGCCCTTCCTTAAGAAATTACAGGTATATTGGTGCTGCTAATGTTTTTATGCACATCTTTTGGGATTTGGTAGTGGCTGAAGCTTCAGCAGGTTTGTCTAAGTCATGCTTATGAATGGATCTAGATTCCACCCATCTTCCCTAAAGTCTGATATGAGACTTGTCTTAGCAGACTTTCTGATGTGCTAGAAACTATGAAGCATTCAAACTTTCTCTGTTAAAATATTACAAAGGCATTGCCAGAAACTGAAAAATTGAAAACAATAGTTTCAACTTAAAAATGCCCTTTGCCCATCAAAAGTTAGCATCAGCTTTTGGGTTACTGCTGTACAAATGGCCTACAGGTTAAATTAAGTTAGAAAATATACTCCAGTAAGCTCATTTGTATAGTTTGAGTTAAAACCTTTAAATTAAATGCTAAATGTGTCTTAAATAAACTTCTAAAAATAATTAGGTGGAATACAGGTAGAGGCACACACTTGGATTTAAATTTTAGGATAATTTCATTAAGTAGCTTTTGGGAATGTGGTATGTGCCAAGACTGGAGAAAATAAGAAAAGAGAGTGTGAGTATATTTTCTCAGTGCAAAGCAAGTTACTTGTGGTATAATATTAATGTCCTGGTTTGGCTAAAACAGGACCATTTCTCCTTTCAGTAGATTTTTCCTTCAGTTAAGTTTTTTCTAAGCAGCATGTAGCCAACTTTAGGAAGTGCAGTCACTGCACTTGCAGTTCAGTAATGTGCAGAGCCCTGGATGCCAAATCAATGTTGTTTCAGTATTCTCTCTTTCTCTGGTAATAATACACTAATTGATCTAAATATACAGGTAGAAAAAAAAATTGAGATTTATGTCCAGGAAACATTTTTATAGCGAGACAAGAGGAAGTGTAATGTTACTTGTTATCATCTTGCTATTTATTTTGCTCTTTTTAGATTGGCCAGTCTGAAGTTTACCTCATCAGTCCTGACACAAAAAAAGTAGCAATTGAGAAAAGCTTTAAAGAAATATCCTTTTGTTCTCAGGTAAGATTGCAGTGTATTCTTTCTCCCTTTTTTTGTTTAAATATTCTCCACTTGTGAATACTCATGTACTCCTCTCTCCTAGTATTTCAAATGGATTCTCACCCCAGCGATTTCAGTAATTGCTATTGAGAAGTTGCTAGTTAATCAGTAATTTTGTAAAACTCATTCTTTTCTCATGCTTTGCACTGTAATTTCTGAGATAAAGACTCACTTCTGTGTGTGGTGGGTGAATAATATGAGCTAGAAGGAATACCCTGGGCAGTTCTGGTTTGAGATTTCAGTGGGCGTGATTCACAGTTGTGCAAATTTGGGATTCTCTGAGCCATATTTTTCAAGAAGTGATAATGAAAGGAGAAAACTTATATGTAAGAGTTATCTGAAAAATACTTCAGAAATACATTTTTTTCAAGAGTGTAAGTTACATGTGTGTAAAAGAAGACAACCTGCTGCCATGCAGAGGTAGTGTGTGTGGTGCACCGAGGGCAAGCATGTTTCAGAGCCTCCTCATTCACTATTAATCCCCATTTCTTATGCCGTGGAGTTTGTTTCTCTGTCCTTCTACCTCTCATTTTCGTGGCTCTGACTTTGATTTTGCATGGATTATGTGATGGTGCAATTTATCTAATAACCTATTTCAAGTGGTGATGTTTTGAAAGAGATGCAACTTACATACACGAAGATGCGGTAATGGCGTTGCGTAGGTTATGCAGGCGTGTGATTCACAGTCAGCTACTGCAGTGGCTTGGTGGTGTGAGGGCAGACTAAATCACCCTCACATCAAGGACATGGGACAACTCGCGCAGTTACAGCACTCCTGTATGGGCAGCTGCACTAGCTGCTGCTGGGTCCTCTGTACAGAAGCAGAGGACTCCCCTTTGAGAATTGCTCAAATATCAAACTGCAGACTGAAACAACTGTTCATAAAGACATTTCATAGACCAGTTACTTTTGTTAACTAACCAATGTCATGATGCAGGGATTTGTCTTTCACTAGCTGTTTTCTGTCCTGCAAGGCATTATTTGTATTTAGTTTGTCTGTGTACCCGATTTGATTCAGTTTAAGTGAATGAGGAAATTGAATTTAATTCACTAAACTATGATAGAGTCCTTAGAGAACACTTAATTCCTTTAAACCCTGTTACAGATCATTTTAGTTTAAACCTCTGAGAAATTAACCTGAACTATAATTACATAAATAAACTTTATTGAGAAATGAATGCTCCCACTTGTTTAACTAAGAATTCACCTTGGATTAAACCAATGCAATGCTTGTTTGTACTGTGGGGCTTGGGTGGAAATAAGACCTAGTATACCAGGATGTGAATTTTGCCACTATTTCTTGCACTAAGAACTGTTTTGCTCTTGTCTTACTTGCATAGTGCAGATATACTCAGTGCATCACAGGTTCTGGTCTTAATGATATTGAGGCAAAACTTTTTTTTTTAGTAGGTTTATTCACCCGTTTTTAAATATAAGGAATATGATTTGCTGTTATTTGCTTCTAGCTTTTTTGGATTTTTTTTTTCATAAATGACTTTGTTTTTTAATTTGATGAGGATAGCTTTAATCACTAAACATACAGGTACCTATTCTGAAAATTTCAGAGTAAACATAAGTAGTTCACATGCTCTCAGATCAAGAGCTTTGAAGAGAACTCCTTGATCACAAAAAAATCTTGATCCCAATGTTCCCTTAGGCCATCTCCTTAGGCAAGAGCTAGTTAGGTAGACTTTGTGACTTGCCCTGAAGGTCAGCAGATGATTGTGCTCCTCAGAGCAGTAGGACTGAGATTCTGATTGAATTCTCCCCTCCTGTCTGAAGAATGTGCTACTGGGCAGATGTTATGTCAGTTGGGCAAATACTGGTATTGGGGTACAGAGGCCTTTCCCCCAAGTAGGCACATCTTAGAAGACCTGACAGAATGATCTTATGGAGTCATCTTGATCATACAAGAACTTTAATAATCTTTTCTTGAAGGTACTGGACTTAAACTATAAGGGAGATCAGAATCAGTACTTAATTTCGAGAATGCCCAATCTGTGAGTGGGAGATTATAATGGCAGAAAGAAGTATGTGATCCTGGGGCAGTATCTGAATTGGCTAATCTGAAACAGCTAAGAGCATTTGCCAGCTCCTGGTAGCTTGCAGTTTTGTGGGCAGGGCTATGATCCCAGCTAGGCTTCTTCCACCATAGCAGCTGGGTTTTCAGGAGAAGAAATGGGCTTTCAGAAGAAAAAAACATAGGCTGGGAGGTTAGAGAGGGGGCTTAGTGCATTCTGTACACATCTCTGATGTGGATGATGGAGAGAGAGAGTCTGTGGGTTGCATCAGCTTGTTCTTGCTTTATCATATAGCTGCCTCCTAAAATGCTTAGCCTGGACATCCAATGGAGCTAGAGTTGGAGAAGCTGCAAACTTTACATCATTTGGATGTCCTTCCGATCTTTTTGTTCTCATGGCTTATTAGTGCCTGAAGTTTGTGTAATAAAGTCTTTGTTATCTATGTGTAATTGTCACACTCCAACAAACCACGTATCTCCGTATACATTAAATTATTTTCCTTCATTCAACTGACATGCTCTGAAGGTTTTTTGTTAGTATTTTGAATTATAAGACAACATTTTTCGGATTGCTTAAGTATATTTGATGCTCTAACAAGTTCTTTTTTGGGACACCTGACCATTCTGTTTTATAGAAGTATTCACTTTTTATGATTTTAAATGCTTTTTTAAAATGTTTTCTTCATGCTGAAAGACAAAGAGAATATTTGCTGATTCTTGCTGTGTTAACAAGGAAAAGAAAAAAACCCAAGCAAAAAGTGCTGCTTGGCATCTTGAGATTTTTTTAATTTCACTGAAATTTCTGCTTTACTGTGGCTCATTATTATGATTTTTGATGCAACAGTTTATTGCCTCACTTTGTCCAACTTTAATATTGTGCCATGACAGCTAGAAAGTGGTAAAATGGCACTGAGTGTAACTGAATTTCTATAAACAGTCTCTACCACTGTGCATGTAATTCATCATCATAAGTTGTTTTTTTGTTTGTTTTTTAACCAAGAGTGGTGCACTAAGGAGATGTGCACTGGGATCACATAAGTCTACTGATCTGAAATTCTTTTCATAAAAGAAAAAAGTTCCCAGCAAGTAAAAACCTTCTTAGCATTTTACCAGGATGTACTGTTTATCTACTGTTGCAGGTAGATTGTACCTGAATTTACATGCCTTTTAGGAGAAATAAATGCTTCTATGAGTGATCTTTGAGTAATATATTTAACCATTTTCATTTTTTAACTAACACAGCTTTTTTTTGCATGAAAAAAAATGGTTTATTCATTTTTCACTATTGCTTTGATTTGCTCTTACAAATTCAAAGCAATTGTTGACTGCTTAAGCAAAAGAAAAAAAAAACAGAGCAAGCTTTTTCCCCCTGCTATTTCCAATATTGAGTAAAATATCTCAGATAGTATTTATTCATCCCTGTGTTTTCCAATGGATCTGTTATAATTCAGTCATTAAAAAAACCCAAACAAACAAAACAAAACCAACAAGCAACCTCTGACTTAAGTGAAATTTAAGAGTCATGAATTAATAGGTTCTATAACAGAATAGATTTTTAATGGCCAGATGACTTTAATGTAGCTGTAACAGGAATATGTGACCTAGCAGTAATGCTGTTGGGCCTTTCCTGCTTTTATAACTGGAAAAAATAATAGGTACAAAACATTGAAAGTAAATATGACTGCTTCATTTCTGCTGGTTTTGTGCTAGGGAATTAGACATGTGGATCACTTTGGGTTCATCTGCAGAGAATCTTCAGAAAATGGAGGCTTCCACTTTGTTTGCTACGTCTTTCAGTGTACAGATGAAGCACTGGTAAGTGAAAGAAAAGAAGAGCCTAACAGAATATTAGGCCCTGAAAGTCTTCTATTGCTCCATGCTCTGTATTTTGCTGAATGTCTTCAAATCCTGCTCCACTCAGAAATACAATTATTTCAAAAATGTAACTAACATAGCAGTCTGCAAAGGAACGTTCAATTTGTTTTGAAAGCAGAAGTTAAAATCCCCTTTAAAATCCAATAAAACTTCCTTTCATTGCACAACTAAGTTGGACCATGTGTCTCTTTTTTGGAAGAGGGTTTTTTCATAGTGTACCTGTTCAGAAAATCAGGACTACTCTGCTGTGCTCTAGATCCAGGCCAATATGTCACAACTGCAGTAAGCTTTTTTATCACGGACAAGAAAAGGTTTCTAGATAGAGGTAGTATCTTCTATTAGACCACAATAATAAAATTAGGTGGCCTGGAAGAGACGTGACTTCATGATGAGTTTTGTGTTGCTTGTGTGTTTGTGCACAGAAACAGTACAGGAACAGCTTTTCTTTTTAATCATAAGCACATTCCCAAACAAGTGGCAGTATCATTCTAAAAGACGGTTGTGTTTGTGTTAAGGAAAACAGAAGCTCAGTGGAGGAGTGAAATTCTGTTCTTGTGCACCCTGTTGTTCTCAGGTTGACGAAATCATGATGACATTGAAACAGGCTTTCACCGTAGCTGCTGTGCAACAGACTTCCAAGGCACAGCCTCAGCTCTGTGAAGGATGTCCTATGCAAAGCTTGCATAAACTCTGTGAAAAGATAGAAGGTGAGATTTAAAGAACTTTCTGGTGGAATATTTTTTCCAACAATTTTATTGGAGAACAGTCTTACAGGTGAAACTTGAAGAGAATGAATGCTTAAAAAGAGCTTGGGGCTTGGGATGGAAGATTGACAGCCAGTCTTTATTCAGAGGACTGCAATGTCAAGTTATCTGTAAGATAATAAGAGTTTTCTAACAAAAGTTAAGCTCCTTGTATTTCAGTTGAATTTTTGAAAGCTAATTAAGAGTCTAAATATTACTGAATTGCAGCTATCTCGGCTCTATTAGCCCTATAAATGCAGAGGACCTGTAGATAAGAAACATTTCAAGAATATATGCTGCAATAGCTATGACCTGGTATCCTGTTGAATCCACTTTGATACTGGCATTATGCTACCACTAAACATGAACCGTACGGTATGCTTTTAATATGCATGTTTGTGGTGTTGATCTGTGCTCTTTCATGAAAATACAGCAGTTAAAATTGTAGTTGTTGCTCAGAAAACAAGTTCAAGACAAAAAAAACCTCTTTGCATTTCAGCAAATTTCACAGTTCGGTTTTGTTCATTTAAGTGATGTCTGGGGTGAATAAAGGGTAACAGCAGCTTGTCAGATCACGTGACAGTAGCTTGTTGGACTAAAACCTATCTAGTATTAATTCGATGAAACTGGAGAACTTCCAAAACTACTTTTTACTATATTTTGGTCTTCAGCCAGATATGATTTTTGAGAAATTTCTTAAAGGCAAATGATTCTTAATGCCTTTAATTGTGCCAGCTGGTTAATCATATTGTTTGCTTCTGAAGGAGAAATGCCATGATCAGAAACTGAAGTACAAGATACTGTTCATGGTTTGCTGTTTTTTCCACAGAAAACAGAGGAAAGGAATTTAATCCAGGATGAGAGCAGAAAAAAATAATCTGAATGAGAGGGTAGTCTGCTTCAGACTGTCAGTAAATGTTTTCAGCAAGAGGCAAAGCAAGAACTTCATTAACATGCAATAAATTTACTCCTTTTCAGAAGAGGCCAAGGCACACAAATTGGAGAAAATCAATGGAAATTGTATTTATACAAAAATCCAAGCAATATTGCATAAAACACCAACAAAGCAGTCTGCTATAATACAGTAGATTGTGGGTTTATTTTATCTTGTGTGATAATGGAATCTTCAGCTAAGAGTATAATCCTGGTCTGTGCTCAGTAAATCTCCTCACTGCAGAGTTCGTGTCCCTCATTTTAAAGACATGAGTTCAGTAGTAGCTTTAAATTAACCGAGAGTTCTTTCTAATGCCCTGTTATGAAATCAGTGCAATAGGTCAGCTCAAATAACTGACGAGCTTTGACTTAAGTTGTGTGCATATTTATGTGATTGATAATTCTGACAAATTTGACACTGTGATTTGTTCTTTTTTGTTCCTCTTGGTAGGGTTACACCCTTCTAAGACTAAACTAGAACTACAAAAGCATTTAACAACACTAAATAACCAGGAGCAGGCCTCTATTTTTGAAGAGGTTAAGGTAAGCTCTTTGTTTCCTACAAGATTTTAAAGCAATTGATGTTTTTTGCTAACAACAGTGTGAAGCACCAAAGTTATTTTCATTCTTTTGTGAATTATTCATTATCTTTATTTAATAGATTGTTAATCACCTTGTGCTTTAATTTCAATATAATTATTTTTTTAGAGCTGTTAAAAACTTGTCTTTTGATGAAAATGGTTTATTTAACTCATTTTTCTTCCTCTAATATGACTCGTTTTCCATTAAAATGTTGGCTTCTCACTGAGTAAAACTGCACACATTTTTTTGTGAGTGAAGGGAGTAACTTGTACTGTGAGAACATTCAACTGTTACTTTGACCAAAACAGATTACTGTAACATTCCCAGATCAGAACATTTCCTGCCTAAAATTTGTCCTAAACCTTAATACTTGTAAAACTAACCAAAAAAGTTTAACTTTCTGTCTTCTGAATGAAATCCATTTTAGCACAGAGGAAAGCATAGCTGGATTTAAGACTGATGATGAACACTGTAAGAAATGTCATTGGGCTTGGCACACTATTGACGATTAGGAAATTTCAGACTTTTTTAAAAATAATGTTTCCTTCCTCTCTGGAGTCATTGCAGTATCTTTGTGTGTTTTCATGTGACAGTTTATCATCCAGTACCAAATTTGGAAGTTACTCTGTGGGACTGATTCCATAAGCCAAGTAATTTCTTAGTATACAGCTAGCTGGCACTGTTGCCTTTTAGTATTCTACACACATTTTAACAGTCTAAAGCTTCTAGTAGTCACAGGAAACTGTTAATTGCTTCTGGTGAGAGTCTGCAAACGATTAACTTGGTAAAACCAAGGGTAAGGTATGTCTCTCCTGCCTATCATTTTCAGCTGATATTTTGAGTTGGACTGCCTGAAATTTTAGTTGTCGCATTCTTACAGCTGCATGTGTTGTTACCATGATTTGCATTTTTAGATAACTGTCTTTCTAAGGATATTTTGATTAATCTGATATGCTACATTGGGATTAGCTAATTCATACTGTGTCCTCTGCATTACATCAACAGGCTTAAAACAGTACATGCTTTTCAAAAGTTAGGTTTCTGGGATTAAATTCTGTAATAATTTATTTTAAAAACATTTTCTCTTGCAATAATTCAGATCTAAATAGAATGAAGCAGAGACAAATATGTTCACCTTGTGCACTAATTTTTAAAACACCTGTGTCATTTCCCAAAAACGAAATGTCCAATGAGAAGAATTTCTAGGAGAAATGGTGTGCATTGTAACTGCAAGACAGTACTTCATGTGTGCTACAAACTCAGAACTACAGTGTTTTGGTTTTCTTTACATCAAAAGCAAATTGGCAGAAATCTTTTTTTTAAGTGTTTATTTACTTGTGTCAATTAGATACCTCTGCAGTTGTCCTTTATCTTTCATGTAAATTCTGTCATGTATGAAGTGAGTTCAAATGTTTCTCTGGCTGTGTTTCTGCTTTGCCTGGGACACTGGTGTCCTCTGGTGGACTGGAGTAGTAGCATTAACCAAGTTAAACTTGTTTGTACATTAATGACACATTGACAGTGACAAAATGAAAAGAGTAAATATTTGCTAACTGTTATACAAATGTATAATTTGTGCTTGTGGTATTTTCAATTAAAGAAATTAAGACCAAGAAATGATCAAAAAGAGAATGAGTTGGTTATCTCTCTTTTGAGAAACATGTATGAAGAAAAACAGAAGGACCATGTTCATGTTGGAGAAGCAAAGCAGGTAAGTAGTCATTCAGTTTTAGTTCATGTAAGGAGGAGCCAGGAAAAAATCTTCCATTCCATTTTTATATTTTTCCAAAGGCAACTTTCCATTACTGGCATTTTGGAGCTTCAAACTGTAGACAGTGGTGAACATTGGTTTTGCTTACAATTCATAGACTTTTGTCATGCCCCAGAACAGGCATATCTCAGATTTTGAGGTACCGGGTGCAGTCTGATTTCAGGCCTAGGAGACAGAGATGCAAACAAGGTGGACCACTAATTTGGTGTTTTTCCTTTCTTCTCACTGCAATGAAAATTCGTGTATGTGAGACACTACATAATGAATTTGTAATTGCTCTCAGCCAGTCTGTGTCATTTGCCATCCCACTGTCTATCTCTGTGAGTCAGTGTCCTGACAACACGTTGGATTTGATCCTTCATAAAGACTTATTACATTTACTTGATAGCTGGAAGTAATTTCTTGTGTGCAAACCACCATTTGAAATGGCCTCAAGGAGGAGTAGCTGAGGAAGATTGCTGCAGAAACAGCAGCAGAGACTGTCATCCATTTCCAAAGAGATGAGCTGCCTTTCATTCTGTATCAGGTTCCATCAGTGCTGGCTATTTGTACAGCACAGTTGAGATTTTTTCAAAAAAGACTAATGATTTGGATGCCTTGGTTTGTGACTAACTAGCTTGAGACACCTCAGTAGCTTTAAGGTGGAAGTGTTTTTACTGGTGAAATATATCGAAGAGTTAGATTGTTAAACATCTTCCTGGCCCTTAGAAAGCCCCATTTTAATATAATGGAGACACTTGAGAGTTCTTGTTAATTATGAGCTTCATCAGTTGTGATTAATTTCTTGGCTGGAGAATCATAGAATCATAGAATCATTT